TGCATACGTACATAACACATACATATATTGTGTAGATGTAGGAAAAGATATGGGTATCCACATATAGTTGTCGTATTTGTAGATATAATACGTGCACACATGCCCGCTCTCTTTGGCCTGTCTTGCCTGCACCGTCTTCGTGTAGTATCTTCCTTTGAGTAACACATATGTATGCAGGCATGCATATCTATATGTATATATATATACATATGTACATTTACACAAACATACATGCTTCAGAATGTGGAAAGCAGTGCAAGGTTGTACTGCATATTTCTAACTGATGGTTGTTGACCCGTTTAACCAGGGGGGTTATGAAATAGTGGTTTCAACCGAAGGTGACTACAGAGTGACCTGATTTTTTCACCTGGAAATCTCGACCTTGATCTGGGTGTGGGTCGCCTCTGAAGCTCCTGCTTTTAGGCTCCGAAGGAAGAGGGTTTTGGGTTTAGGGTTTAGGGGGTTATAAGGTTTGGGGTTAAGGGATTAGGGGCTTAGGGGTTAGGCTTTAGGCTTCAGGGATTCAACCCTGAGCAAGTGTTGCGGCCAGGTTGACATCGAAGAAGCTTACGATGATGACTGGACGGCTGCGGCCCTTGTGTACACTTTCGCGGCCTACATATGGGAGAATGGGGGTTCCTTTAAAGGGTTCTTATAAAAGGGTCCTATTCAGATTACTATAGGGGGTATTATGAGGGGTGTACTATAGGGCCCTCAATTTTTTTCCTATACTATTTGTGGGGGTCCTTCTGATAATTATAGTATAATGAGCCCCAGCACCCCATTCTAATTGTTCAGGCTCCTACATCAACCTGTTCTGTTCGGGCTGGGATCGAGGGCAGTGGAAGCAGATCCTGGCTTGGGAAGCTCCAGACACTCCAGAGCGTGTGTTTGACGGCTGGTTGTGTTTTTGTGTTTGTGAGAGAGGGAGATAGAGAGAGAGAGAGAGAGAGAGAGAGAGAGATATATATATATATAAATGAATAAATAAATAAATATATATATATATATATATATATATATGTATATATATACACACACATACATATATACATATACAGTGCGTATTGTCGCAGCACGGGGCGGGGTCTGTGAGTCATGTTTCGACCCAAGGTTGAGGAGTTTGAGGTGCCAGCAGGCTCTCGTTTTCGGGCTTGGGGTGTTCGTAGTCATTGTAAAGAGTTGAAGGATGCTGAGAGTTTCGTTTCGACGGGATATTGCTTGTGGGTACAACCCACTCCAAGCCCGAAACCCTCGCTCCTGGTTCTTCCCGCAAAATCGGGAACATGAATCTCGACCCCCCGCACCCACACACCCTCGTGAACTCCAAGCTCAGCCCCTTCTACTTCCTTTGGCTCCTCTGAGGTTCGACCTCTCCCTGCGGAGTGGCACCCCCCGCGTGGAGAGGATAACACTGAGGCCAAGACCATATTATACGGATCCGCAGCTGACTAAAATTCAATTCAGCTTCCTTTGAGGGACGGGTCCTTTACGTCATCTTGAAAACGACGCAAGTCTCTACATGCCCGTTGAGCGAGAGCATTGCCTTTGATAATCTACGGGTCCCCGCAAGATCATCCTCGTCTGGACCCTTTTTGAAATCTTCAGCAACACGAGCAATCGAGATCGTTATGACTTTGGGACACTTCTTGGACCAGGGGCGCTCGTTCCCGAGCCTGCCTTTGGTCTTGCAGGGCAGTTTTGTACTCTGTGCTGCTTCTCGGCTATGGAGCCTCATGCCCAGACCTTCTCAAGGTATGATCCACCATGTCAGGCCCACCATGGATACACGTCGAATTCCTGGGGCGAGGGCCTGTCGGAGTCTTATACCTTGAACCAAAGGGTACAGGGCTTTTGGGTGTTGAGCTGATTGCTGCTCTGGTTATTGATCGATATTCTCCTGCTGCAGAGTGTGACAGCGCAACACGGCAACACCTTACCGTTGGCTCGGTGGACCCTACTAGCCTACTGCAGGGCTTTCAGGAAGTGTCCCCGGGTCCTGAGTTCGACGACACCGAATTTGCGCAACAGCATGACGTGCTGAGGCCTGAGAGCTCTGCCTTGCAGGTGGCCGGCTGAACCTGAGCTCGCGGCCATACGGTAGCGCCCGAGCAGTGCCTCTGCTCTTGCAACGACAGCTCTCAGAACAGTCCATTCTAGATCTGCGAACTGGCTGTCGGGAGCAAGGCTTGCTTGAAGTGGGTTCAACGCAGTCTTCGTTGCTGCATCCCAAGCAATAGCCCATCGAAAACAAGAAGAAAGCATGCGTGCTCATACCTGAACACCACATGTGGCACCTCTTTTTCTCTCCATGTAGCTGAGGAGTCCCTTAGCCACACATTCTCTCTGTTAAGCCCTGTCAATCTCTGGGCTACAGCAAGTGCAATGTATAGGTATAGGCATTATGTGCATGTACATGTATTGCATATGTGTTGATACATATTCCTACGACATATACATCTACCCATATACACATATGTATATATGTATGAGATGTATGATACTGTGACCGTATGTCTGATATGTATATCCGTGTAGAAAGACATCAGCGCAAACACTCGTACAGCCAGTTGCGGCAGTAAGTAGATTGCAACTGATCGGCATCCTCTGGCATCCCGAAGGCCGAACTTCATGACCCCAGAGTGGCACGAGTGAATTGGGGAGCCCGCCAAGAATCCTATGTCGTTTTGTCTATAGGGTCTTTATTACATAGGGCCATAGGGTCCCCTATCGAAAGTGCATAGACGGCTGAGTCGTATCACATCCCAGGTGTCTAGCACACAAGGATACACAAGGTCAAGATGATTTCCGAGCAACTTGTACAGGAAAGGGCAGCAGGCAACGGCATGTCGGGATTCGCTTGGAGCCGTGCGAATGGTTGTGTTATTCGTGATGTGTTGCTGAGTTTGGGAGGAGCCCTGGCGATCTTCAAAACATCCAGAGGCCTACGCACTTGTACAAGTCATACATACTTCTAGAGGTTACATACACGTGGATGTACATACCTGCCTGCCCCTATGCATGCACCTCCAGTATACTCAGGTGTGGATGCCAGCGTTTGCCAGCGTAGATTGTTAGATGCGACAGAGTGAGCCTCCAGGCTAACACGCCTTTGACCCTCACAGCAGGATCTCCCCCGGATCAGACGAAAGACGACCACCAAGCACTCAAGACTAAACGGTTCAGGCATCCTAGGGCTGACCCTAAACCCTGAACCTTAAGCCCTGAACCTTAAGCCCTGAACCTTGAACCCTAAACATTAAACCCTAAATCCTAAGCCCAAAACCCCAAACCCTAAGCCTTAAATCCTAAAACCCTGAATCCTAAAACCTCCTAGACCCTAAACCCTAAACCCAGAGCTTCGGTCGACTCCTGTCCCTGAGCTTCCTGGTTCGGGGGAGCCTCGGATCTTCCGCTCATTTGCCGTGGGTTTTGTTCGGACATGCTGGGCAAAAAAAGGAAGCTACACTAATACAGGGCTAAAATATCTAGTGCTGGGCAAAAAGAGGAAGCTACACTTAGGGTTTAGGGTTTAGGGTAATACAGGGTTGAAATATATAATTTGGTAGAGGGCGCATAGCGCGTTTAGTGTTTTTACAGCACAAATCAAGGGCTTTTGCTGCTGTTTAGGACTAAGGTCAAGGGTTTTTGCTGCTGTTCAGGACTAAGGGGTGGGGGGGGGGGGGGGGGGTAATAGCGGCCGGCCGTCGCATATCCTCTCGGGCGGGCAGTTGCGAGCCGGCCATGGCACTTTCCTGTAATGATGATATTGATCATTATGATATATTATCAAGATGATGAAAAATGCTGGAAAATCCGAATGACGGTGAACAGTGAACATAATGTTGCTAGAGTCAATGATGACGGTCGTCATGATGATGAAGTAACGATGATGATTATGATCTTGAACATTATGATGATGACGAATATGATGAACAAATCGATGATAAAAATACTAATGACGGTGAAAATGATGTTGGTAAAGACAATGATGAGCATGATTAAGAGCATACAGTAATGATGCTGATACTGCTGATAAAGACGATGATGATGCTGATGATGCTGCTGATGATATTGCTAGTCGTATGAATGCAATTATATAGTTTCCGTGATGTCCTACAAATACAGATCGGTTGTTCGTAGAAATGATGCTAAAACCCCTTTCTCGCGCACATTCTAAGTACGAACGCAGCGTGGTGCCCTATGCGCACCACCCATATAGTTACTTCTACAAAAAAGGGCCCTAAATAATATAACGGCCCCCAACCACTTTTCTAACTATTAAGGCCCGTATAGTACACTTGGCATCAGAACGATTGCCTCGGAAAGCTTCCGTGCATAAGCAGATTGATCGAGAGCGAAAGCCGTTCCTGCAGCGCGTCCAGCTTTGTTCATCTCCGTTCGTGTTCCAGCGGTCCGGTCCGCCTCCAGTCAACATCTCAAGCGACTGCTTCATACAGACAGAAGGAAGCAACCATACAGTGTCGAATCAGGAGCTCCTTTGCCATGGCAGCCACGCAGCTACGAAGCCGCATCATCCGCAGCCAAGGACTGCGGCTGGCAGGGACCTCAGTGGAACCTTGGACCCAAGCAGCACCCTACGCACACGCGTAGATCCCCAGACTCTCAACTGTAAACCTTGAACGTGACGTGACTGAGGTGCTTGTTGTGTCAGGGGCGCTCCTGGCATTTGAGGTCCCAGGCTTGCGCGGCTCTGCGCGGGTTGAGGGCTGTAAAGTCGCAGTTTCGCGATCGGCTTGTGGTTGCTTTGGAGACAGCATGCCTAAAAACTGTGTGCTTCGCAGTGCTCACATATGTGTCAGTGCACTGAGATCTTATAAGAGTCGCAAAATAGTGCTGTCGTAAATGCAAACGATTCCGACGGATGTCTGCTTGTGATGTTGAGTGGTTTTCGCTGTAACCCTACACAGCCGGAGGCCGCACGCGTCTCTTCCTTTCCGAGGAGGCGCAGAGACCGAACACAGGTTTGAAACCGCCTCATGTGCCTACTCGCTGCGCTGCGCCCTTCACATCGTGCCTCTCAGATCCTCCGAGCTGGACAGGCAACGTTGCCCCGTCTGGAACGCATCCATCAGCAGTTGGAGGCAAAAGCAGCTGCAGTGGTCTCGCCGAGGAAGGCTCGGGCTTTTCCACAAGAAGGTGCCTGAGTGCAGCGCAGCGCATGATGCTGGTAGCCACTCCAGGCAACCTTGAAAGAGTTTTTGCTGGACCCGAGCTTCCAGCCGCCTGTGCTGGAGTATTTCCTGGAGGAGAGGGAAGGGCAGGCAAAGGCAAAGATCTACCAGGCCCGGGTGGACGTCGGTGGCACCTCCTATGCAGGCGCGGCAGAGACCCCACAGAGCCAGCTCGTCGTGTTTAGGAGTGTCTTTCCTGAGCGATTTTCGATGTTTCTCGTTTCTCCTAGGTGCACCGGGTGGCCGGGAAGAGACGCAGCTGAGTGCTGCTCTTGTGGCCCTGCGCGCCCTTCGCGCACCGTCTCGTGGTCATGACTCGACGAGTGGTCGGCAGGATGCTGGAGCTGCATGATAAAGCAGACTCGTGCATGTGTGTCCGTGTCCGGCGTTGATCGTTGAAACTCGTGCTGGAGCAGCCGGTGAAAGTCAGAAGATGCACTGTGCTGCTGCCATTTCTTTTGTTCAGTAGCTGCAGCAACATATGCCCTTTGCATCTCGTAAGATCTCGTGAGTGGGGTCCAGGTGAGCAGAGACACAGAACTGAACATCTGGGCGGACTGATGTATAGTCAGGAACTGGTGATCCGCGTGCCGCGGGGGCGCAGCCTTCGCACCACCACAAAGGCTGTCGCCGGTGGCAAACACGAGTCCAACCTGAGATGGATCGAGCGCAACAGCTACTCGGACTCAAGCAACGGAGAAGCCATGTTCACCAGAGTTGAGGCAGCGGGCGAGCCGGGTATTGGTTTGTCTTGTGTGTGCTAGCGAGGTGGAGCAAAAGTCTCGCTCGTGGGGGGCCAGAAGACCGGCGAGCCTCTCCGAGTCAAAGTTTCTGGAGATGCTTGGTTAAAGTCTGGCAGCAACCTTAGCCGGGCTTCATTGGTGGAAGCGCTCCGGAATGCTCCTATCTACTCGTAGCTGCGTCAGTGCAGTAAAGGACACGGGAAGCTGCCAGACGGCAGCAGACATGGTCCGGGAGCTGCTTGCGCTCTTGTGCTTTGCTTGCAAACATGGTCTTTTCCACATGCCTTTAATTAGCCATGTGCCGTGCGGCATGTCTGGGAACTGCTGTTGGCATGGACATCTCTGTTCGCCACGGCCAAGGCCGCATGCCAAAGTGCAGGCGGACAGCCGACCGAGGAGCCAGAAATCCCTGAGAGGGTTCGCCGTATCGTCGTCATAGAATCAGAACGATAGAATGCGGGGCAAAAAAGCAGCAGCATGTTGATGTTAGATCATCTGTCTATAGACTCGGTTGGAGCTTTTGGGATGCGTCGGAGTCTGTTGGATTGTGGCCGTTGTTCCTAATTGCAGGTCTCAGATGCAAGGCTCCTGGATTGCATAGGCTTGATCGGACAACAGATGGATTTCAGGGTTTGTTTCGAAAAGAAGTTACGGGCCGCGAAAATTTTGTGCAGGTGGACTGCATCTCTCATATAGATAATATAGGGGCCTAAATAATTGCCAATACTATTGTGGGGGTTCCTTATCATATGTATAGTATAATGGACCCCAAAATCCCGACCCTAATTACTACGGCCCCTATAATCTGCCGCATGCTTGATGATGGGTGTGGCCGTCGGCTCATCTGGGCTCCTCGTCTGAGTAAAATGCCTCTTGGGCTAGTATAGTCGCAGCAAGCTTACCAGCACGAAGGCAGCGAAAAGACGACCCCAACAGCCGTGTCAGCTCATCAGAGCTAGCTTTCGTGAAACCGTGAAACGTAGCCCCTCCCATCATGCGCATTTGGGAAATCTTGAGAATCTTTGTAGTTGCTCACAGACCCTGTGGCCACATCGTTTTTCCTGCAGCCCCATGGAATTACACAGGCCTGCCGCGAGGAACCTTGTCCGCCAGTGTCGAGTTCAACATGACATGCATCCGAAGATTCTTGCGCCCAAAGCCTTGCATGTGCCGGAAAACAAAATGACCTTCGAATGGACTGAGGCATCGCATGTCCTCGCTCCTCTCCAGCCAACGCTGCTCTATATTTAAGGTTTCAGAGGATAGCGAGATTTTTGCCTGGATGTCCGGTTTTCCGGTTGAGAGGCGGGGTATAGGAGGATTTTCGATTTAGTCAGCTTTTGCCCAGCTTTTGAGAGTCGGCTTCGCAGCGGTGACGGCTTCATGTCGACTCGTCGCAGAAGATCAGCACTTCTCGCCAGACTTGTGTTAAGCCGTGCCGAGACTGTATGGAATTCATGACATGTCAGATGAACACATGTCACGTGATCCGGCTTTTTGTAGTGCGACGATGCAATTTGGACATGTAACCTACCGTCACGATCAGGCGCTGGATACGGCTGGAAGAGAAGATACAGATTCGTTGAACATCTCTAGCTCTAGCTTTTTGTCATTCTGGATGTGTGTCGGTGGGTGGCCAATGTCTTGTTTTCATTGAGGGTAGCGCATATTGGTTTGATTTTTGGACAAGAAGGGAAAGGAGACCAGACAGCGAGCAACTGCAGCTGGACTCATCCCAGGCTTTCAGAAGCCGATACGACGGCCGCCACACGTCGTCGGCACTCCTCGCCAGCCTCGCCGGGGCCTTTGCAGAAGTTTACAAACTCGCAGATGCAAATCGAGAGAGAGGCAATGAGTCGGATGTTCATGCAGGGCGCTTGCAGGTGAGTCAGAATGTAATGGGCAAGTCACCCACGCTTCAAACTTATAGCGTGCACAAGCGTCGTGGTAGGGTGCAGCCCGAATCAGACAGGCCGCAGCCGCTTGCACGTGATGACACTTGCAGGGTCGATTCCGAGGTGATGGAGACATGGGGCATGCCTTCCAAGGCCCCGTCTTTCTGTGCAAGGGGCGGAGTCGCATCGGTGTTCGGCTTTATGACCCTGAACCCTAAACCCCTGAACGCTATAAGCACCCTAAGCCCTAAACCCCGGTGTTGAGGACTCGTCCCAGCTCCGCACGACTCCGAGGAGCCTTGTCTTGTCCTTTAGGAGGTAGGATTAAGGTCAGGGGACAGGGATTAGGGTGGGTTTGTTTAAAGGGACATAGATCTTAGACAGGATCTATGAGGGTTCTACAAAGGCGTTTTAGGGTTAAGGGGCTCGGGTGCAGGGGTTAGAGTTTAGGGTTTGGGGTTAAGAGGCTACGGTTTAGGGGTTGCAGTCTAGGGTAAGGGGTTGGAGTTTAGGGGGTTGGGTTTCAATGTATCCGCTTAGGACTCGGTTTTTTGGTTCCTTCTTTTGGTGGATCGCAAGCAGTTCGGCTTTCGGTCGCTTATTCACACAATGGGGGTCCTTTGTGTGCGATGTGTTATCTGCACTTACAGCTTAAGCATGATCCTTACCCACACAAGGCCTTGCCTAAGGCCTTCCACACCACTGCCACATAAGCCGCATTTTTTTAGAACAGGCGAGGGTCTCATCATGGCATCCGTATGAGCAAATTCTGGTCGGATTCACGCCATACTCGTCCCCGGGCCGCATGCAAAACGAGGCGCCCTGCAACGCATGTTACACTATCAAGCAGCAGGGTGAAGGCATGCAAGGAGACAAGTCAAGCCGCTGCAAGAGGTGGTGTGTGCTTCGCCGAGACAGTGATTCTTTCGGCCTGATTTTTGCGTGCTCGTGAGTTCAGTGCTTCTATGCTTTTGAGGGCCCTTTAGCCGAAAGTTTGAGGACGACGCGGACTGCAAGCTGATACCTGATATCATGAGCTTGGCTGGACCTGGGGGCGGCAGCCAGGCACCGCTGCTTGGGCGCGCGCTTTTCTTTCGTAGGGTTCAGATCTCTGGGATTGTAGGTGGATTAGTTTAGCAAGCATCCGCAGTTCTCATGATATCCGACGGCTCACTTGGCTCCTGCACGTCCTGTACTCGAGAAGGCCTCTGACACGACACACCGTACCAGTAGTAGATTCTGTAGCTTGTTGGGGTGTCATGTTATGTTATCTTGCATAATTTGCCTGTTGCCTGGGGCTTCGGGGGTGTTTGGTGGGATTGGGGTTTACATGGATTAAGATTGAATGAGGTACAGAAATCAGGTTTTCCTCCATAGCTGGTTCCAGATTTGTTGAGGGTCTCGCTCAGATCGACCAGCACACTGGCCTGGGGCCGTCTGTTCTAGTGTTTCCTAGCAAAGCCTATCAGGGCCCCTCCAGGCTCTTTGGGTCATGTTGAGAATGAGGCTAACGATGATGCTGTTGTTAATCGCTGGACGACACTGCTGTTGACTGCGCCTGTTCTTGTATGCACAATATCAGGAGTAATGTTGGGGCCTGAATAATTAGAAGAGGGTTTGGGGGTATATTATGCTATAATCAGAATAAGGAACCCCCAAAACCCTACTCTAATTATTAAGGCCCCTACATTAGCGGTCGTCCTGACATTGCAGCCGGTTCAGCTTCATTGCTTTGCAGGCATGTTGCCCGGGCAAAGCCGCCCGACCGGACACGTGCTTTATGACGCACCGCTACGTGAAGCAGGCCGTGGCTAGTTTCTGTGGGTTCATGAGCCCTGGTGGGAGGGTGTAGTAGTGTTCTCTTGAGCTTGGGCTTGGGGATGTTAAAGGTGCTGCTTGCAGGCAGGGTAGATCGATTGTTGTTCAGGTGTTTCGAACTTCAGCGAAGTTGAGAAGCCCGCACAGAAGAAGGCGTACTCCTTGTCACATACTGCGCTTCTCCCGCTGGGTTCTCTCGTGTTGTGCGGAAGACTTGACCCTAATGCAGACCCCTCAAATGACAGGAGATTGCGTTCCTCTCGCGCCGCATCGACGAGGTCGGGCGCTACTTCGTGGTGCTCCGCTCAGAGTATTAGGCGGAAATTCCGAAGCCGAGGGTTAGTGGGCTACCACTCTCACCGACTTTACTGCCAACAACATACTCTTGATCTTGCTCTTACTCTACAGGTGCTGTAGTACAACCACTAGCTACTGCTGCAACTACTTCTGCTGCTTCTACATCTACTGCTCCTGCTACTGCTCCTGCTACCACAGCTGCCACTAAGACTAGTGTTGCCGTTTCTGGCCCTGCTTCTGCTTCTGCTACTTACGATGGCACCTGGAGTTTTACCACCACTGCTCTTTCTGTCCAGTGATGAAAGGAAAGTTGAATGCCGTAGTCATAAACCCTAAACTCTACAACCTAAGCCCTGATGGATGAGCAGAGCTACCGCGACCACTGCCTCATCGTTGTGGGCGGCGGCACTGCCGCGGAAGAGATTCTCTGCAAACGGCGGATCGCTGCTGGAGGACGGCTTGCTCATCTGCTGACCCAGGGGGTGCAGGATCATCGCATCAGCGTGCGCAACTTTGAGGAGCTGGATAAATGCTTTTTATGGCAGCCGCCAATGGGAGCCACGACGAGCTTCGGCAAGCGCCTGGGGCCGTCCTTCCGAACCTACTGGACAAAAACGGGCCCCGATGCGGTGGAGCTGCAGGCCCAGCAGGAACTGGTAATCTTCCGGGCAGCTGGGAAGATGCGGCACGTACGGATTCTGGACGAAGAGGGGGCGGTGCAGGCCGAAATGTCAGGCGATATTGTGCTGAATCCTGACATGGAGCTTGCGCAGGAACTAGACGTGGAGGTTAGAAACCCCGAACTGATGGCCTGCGGCATCTTCTCCTGGCGCCACATGCTCCTCTCGATGGCCCTGCTGCTTGTATGGCAAACCGCAAGGTGGGCGATCTCCATCCATTTCGAGGAGCAGGCCCAGGAGGGACAGCTGCCTTGGTGGCGTGGGAACCGTCTTCTGCAGCTGGGGTCTTTTTGAGACATGGGGTGCCAGCCTTGCAGCAGAGAGGTCTACCTGGCTGACCGACCTCACGGGATTGGTTCTTGGCTTCATCGTCGCTGTGGGAGCGACCTGGAGACAGGTGGCAGACTTGCCATTATCGATCCTGGGCGTGGGTGGAAACTTTCTCACAGGACCAACTCTTCTCTACTACTTGACGCGGGCACGACACGAGACCCGGCGATTCCTTCCTTGCCTTCTTTGGACGATGGCGCAGCTCTGCGGTACGGTGGGTTGTTCCTTAGTGCTGGCTGGCATGGTAGTGACCTACCAGATCCTTCTTGCCGATGGCCAGGTTTTTTTGGCAACCGCTTTCCTGCCATTGAGTACTGCCTTGGTGGAGACCAGCACGGTGGTCTTCACGAAGTTCGTTTACAGTTGGTTAGTGGTCGAGAAGCGTCCGCAAGTTCCCGGGGACACCGCGTACCAGGCCA